CGCTGTTTGTGGTCCACGGAAGAACATCGGTTTGTGTGACTGAATCCAGCCCACCAGAGGGACACTCACCTGTCCTGTGCAGCTTGATTTGGGGTTTCCAGGTGATATCCAGCAGTCTGCGCTGACGGTCGATCTCTTCCTCGTACTGGACGATCGTTTTTTCAAACTCCAAGAATATTTGTTCAGCAGCAGCAGTTAGTCGCTCGTTGATGAACTCTCTCAGATACTGAACTGAAGGCATCGTTGCTGCCGCAGCTCACACACAGCTATACACTCTGCTACCTTCAAACTTTACTGACCCCGACACCCGTGGAAAGTTAATAGCTACTTCAGCTTTTTCCTGTTTACTTCCACCTGGTGTCACATAGGGAAGTTCCGGCGGTGGAGGGCGGCTAACTTTCGTTCCGCTGTTGTCACATCGCTCTCACAGAAAACTTCATGTTTGATCTGAACAGTGATTTCAATCACAAAGTGACGACACAGCAGACGGACCCACAGATCTCACCAGCAGGTCTGCCTTCGTGGTTCCTCCGGGTTCAGTGACCGTTTTACCCACAACACAAACCGTTACCATGACTACCATGAATAGATGTCCAGCCCTCTATTTTAAAGTTTGGCATTAAATTATTTTTGGGTCTGTTTGGCTGAAATAATGTTATAATTCACTAATACTGGTTTTTGCACGACTCCAACCAGTGACAACACTCACATATAAATACATCTGTCTGCTTGCTTTCTTTGCTTAGTAGTAATAATAATAATAATGACATTATTGTACATGTCTTGATGCATTCTCAGTCAGTGCCATCACCACTGATCAATGGTGAAGACTGTTTGCATATTAATGATCATGAAACTGACCTCACAGCTCGTTGCTGGTCAGTGCTGCTGGTGTCAGTCGCTGTGCAAAGGGCTGAAAGATCTGTCGCTTTATTACCTATTCAGGTTGTAAATCATGTTTTTAAAAAGTAACTAAGTAACTAATTACTTTCAAAAATAAGTAATCAGTAAAGTAACAGGATTACTTTTTTGGGGAAGTAATCAGTAATTAGTTACTGATTACTTTTTTCAAGTAACTTGACCAGGATTGCTTATCATACAAAAACATGAAACAGGTAAATATTAAATTATATGTTAAAAATGTGTGTTATTTACAGCATAAATTTCATGTGCTATAATTTATGCATATGTTCGTGGCCTACTGTGACCTGTATACTCAGTGGTTAAAGTGGGTCGTAAAAATGTGAAACACAATTTAAGGTTTAGACCTGGCAGTCAGGATGAAGAATGAGCATGAAGGGAAGAACATTTTCTAACGTTTCTGCTCAACGAATGTCAGCAAACTCATGTTTGTGTCTGCCAGATAAAGGTCCAGCTGCTGTGTGATGTGACTGAGAGAAAGATGTAAGAAGGATAGCAGAGGAAGAAGAGAGGTGAGATTAAGGGTAAGGATGCCCAGTAAGATTTGATAAACAAACAAAAAACTATACAAACAATAATGAATGAATGAAACTCGAGCTGTGAGTGATCTTTGATCAGGTTCTCTTTGTTTGAGAGATGCTGTCAGTGTGTTTCTGACTGCGCTGTAGCTTCATGATCATCCTAGATCATGAAGGTACAGAGTTTGTCAGCTGTGACGAAACAAAGAAGAGTCCAGTTTAGAGGCAGCACTGTTACTCTCCAGACAAGCTGAGAGCAACAATTCTTCTCGTTTTAACAATATCCAAGAAAACAACCAGAGTTCTTCATCTCTCACTTGGAAGTAGCAAATATAACCACACAAAGAACCAGGAAATCATTATATTTACTGTCATGTTTAACTAATGAAGAAGCTCCTTTGTGTTTTCTCTTGTCCAGCTGTCATTTCTCGTGGTGTACCACAGGGTCTTAGTCTTGATGCATTCTCATCCACCTAAGTAAATCTCCAAAAGTTGGAGAATTTGCATAATCATGATGGAGCTGACCTCCCCTTCAGTAGCTAATTTCAATGCAAATGTGCTGTTTATAAGGTTGGGGAAACCTGCAGTCAGCTGAGACTGAAGAAGTCACCTGGATGAGTGACGAAACGTTTCTCCAGCTGAAGACGTCCAGATGAACAGAATCAACTTTTGGAGACCAGCCTTAGGTCAGTATCCTCTGATCTGAGGACGTGATGGCTGCAGTTACAGCCACACAGTGGTAATATCCACCAAATATTAGTGTAGAGGCTTATATGTAACACTACATTCACACTTTTCTTTCTTTGAACATAGAATTTCATTTACAGGATCATAAATAACTGGGTTTGGTTTAGAATTAATTTAAATACTCACATAACACTGTATTCTAAAATAAGTGCGCACATTTTAGTTGACACTGTTATGTATGATTTAATCTTTTTGTTGTCTGAGTTACCTCAGCTGCAGCTGCTCCAGTCTCTTGATTGATGAGCCAAGAGGTGGAAAAGGGGCGGAGCAAGTCTGTATGGAGAACTGCAAACTGGCTCATACCATAACTCTGGATCATGGGGGGAATTGGATTTTTTTAGTTAGTTGTTTTTGTGTATTTTACCCCTTTTATGTGTTTTTGTGGGATGATCAGCCACTATTAAGTTTCTCCTTTGTCTCACTTACCTGACAGAGGGAGCTCGACGCGCCGCCGCTTTGACAGCTGGCTCGGGCAGGAGTTGTTCGGTTAGAGGCTTGCTGTTTGGAATAACACTCGATCGCCGGTGGATTGGCATAATCTGGACTGTGACTGGGTCAAAATGGCAAGTAGTAGTGGAGGGCTTTCTGACGATGAGGAAATGGACATTGATTGAAATAAATTGGACATAGTAGAAACGCGGGGGTTAGGAAGGACAGGTTGAAATCTGCGCCGACACGGAAGCGAGCACTTGAAGAGGAAGATGGTAGGCATGAAGTAATGATGGAAGAATTTAAAGTGATATTGAAATTCAAACCTGGGAATGAAATAATGGGACTGAGTCCAATTGCTCTGACTGAGCTCTGAGCTGGCTAAGGTGCTCCGAGACGGGTGATTGTTTGTGAAATGTAAAAATGCAGAACAAAAGTCTAAAGCGCTTGTGGCGGAGGTGTGGTCCAGGTGTTCTGGGAATCCATCCTACTTGGCAAACCATCCTACCCGTTGTTTCTGCGCATGCGCACAACATGAAACTAACTGCCAAACCATCCTACCTTTGTTAATGTCACCTGCAAGCATACTTAAACTGCTAAAATTCAGTAGCAAACCATCCTACCTTTGTCAACATGAGCTAGAAACGTACTTTAACAGCTAAAATTGCCAAAGTAGGATGATTTGTCAGAACACCGGGCACGGCTGCAGGGGAGGAGTGGTGCAGTGAGCTCAACAGGGCGGTGCTGGAGACGCAGGTGAGAACAGCTGATGGCGTTTGGACTGATGATGGTTTCCTTCCCCTTTTATAGTGAGATGGGAGAGTGAGCAGAGGGGGAGCTGGGAATCAGCTGAGACTGGAGCTGTCAGACTGTGCACGGTCATAACAAATGAAAACTAAAAATAAACGTGGCATCTGGCGACAGAGAACTGTGCGTGTGTGTGAAGTGCATTTCACAGCGCTCAAGTTGAAAATGCTTTGTAAAAAAGGAGATTATGGACAGGAAGGTGGTTAGTGAGAGGAGAGGATGTAGAGGAGTGATTTCAGGTATTCCCAGTGGGGAAAATCTGGAGGAGATGAGGAAAGTGATCAACGGAGGAGAAATCACTGGAATAAAAGGACTGCAAGCTGTTAGAAATGGAGAAAAATAGTCCGTCAGTACTGCTTGAGTTCCAAGGGAATAGCTGCCAGAGAAAGTCATGGTGGAGTACATGAGTTTTAGTGTCCGTGTTTATGTGCCTCCTCCACTCAGGTGCTACAAATGTCAGAGCTTTGGTCCCATAGTGTGTAAAGGAAGAGTGAGGTGTGGAAGATGCGGGGGAGAACATATGTATGGTGACTGTGGCAGGAGTCAGGTTAAGTGTTGCAACTGTGGGTGGAGTGATCACAGTAAGGAAGCAGGCAGCAGAGATTCAACAAGTTGGAACAGAGGAGAGGATATCTTATGCACAAGCTTTGAGGAGAGTAAATAACAAGGGCAGAAGACCTGATGAGGAACAAGGAATAGGTGATGGGAGAGGGATGGAGGAGAAGGGCAGGAATCAGCCTGAAGTCCAAATGGATAAACGTGTCTTGTTCTTGGCGCAAGTCAAAACAGAAAAGATCAAGATAGTAGTAAGAGCAGCAGCAAAGTTTTTCAAAGTGAAGATTTGTCTTGGGGAAAAATACATTGAGATCTTAGTCATGGAGAATGTACATCAGACCTACAAGCTATAACTTAATGCTAATTCTTCAATGGAAAGCTAGGAGCCTATTGCAAATGGACAAGAACTGAAGGGAGCTATTTGTGCATTAAATTTGAAGCCGGGTATTATATGTGTACAAGAAACAGATTTAAACCAAGTCTAGACTTTGTTATTCAAGGATACTCGAGCATTCAGGTGGGTAAAAGTGGAGGATGTGCAACGTTTGTTAAGAATGAAATTAAGTATAGTCGGCTACAGCAGAGTTAGAGGTGATAGTTGTAGAAGTACGGTCTCAGAAAGGAAATATCAAAATAATTAATTTTTAGAGTCCGTTTAAAAAGTTGGAGAGGAAAGAAATGCAAATGCTTCTTAGGGATTGGAGAGGGAAACTACACCAAGCACTTCATAAGGGCAGCGTAATGACACCAGTGGGAAGGTGGTAGAGGATGTAGTTGAGGAGAAGGATTTAGTGGTTCTAAATGATGGCTCTGGCACAAGGGTGGATTTGGTAAGAGGTACAGAGTCGTGTCCTGATGTCACAATGGTTTCACAATGTTTGTCAGGTAGGAGCACATGGAAAGTGTTAAAAGAGAGTACGATTGGTAGTGATCATTATCCGATAGTTATTGATATTTGTGTAGACGCTGATGCAACAGAAAAAGAGGAAATGGAGGTTTGATGAAGCAAACTGGTGTTTGTGGAAAACCTTAAGCATCAGTTAAATTCTACAGTTAGTCAGATTATGACTTATGCAGCAACAGCATCCATCCCAAAGAAAGGTGGCAGTAAAAGGATAAAGGTAGTGCCATGGTGGACGCAAGAACGTACAGCCATAATCAAAGCCAAGAACAAAGCATTTAAAATGCTAAAAAGAGCACTGTGTGTTTAAAAATCTCATATGCTACAAAAGGAAACGGGCAGAAGTAGGAACGGTAGTTAAATCAGCTGAGAGGGAATATTGGAGGAAGTACTGTAATACTTTGGGGAGATCGACCCCTTTGGAGAGTCTGGACAACTATAAAGAAAATGTCTGGGAAGAGGAACGAGTATGGTTATCCAGTAATGAAAGATAATGACAGATTATTAGTAGATAATAGGAGTAAAGCTGAATTATTGGAAAGAGCATTTGCAAAAGTTCACAGCACAGAAAATTACTGCAGATATCAGCGGAAGAGAAGAAACACGAAGGTCTGATAAATATCATGTTTTCAGTAGCAGAGTTAAAAAATTCATTAATGGAAGTAAGAAATACGACTCCAGGTAGAGATCAGATAGTTATTGTATGATTAAAAACTTAAGCAACCCTCCTAAGACTATATTAGTAAAATGTTCAAAGTATGGGAAGAAGGTAGAAACGATCATTGTTCCTGTATGTAAGCCAGGAAAGGATCCAGCCTTGGCGGAAAGTTATAGACCGATAGCTTTGACATCACATTTGGGGAAAATAATGGAAAAAATGGTGAATGAAAGATTAATTGACTTTTTGGAAACTAATAGTAAGATCAAGTATTACCAAAGTTTAGAAAAGGAAGAAGCACGATAGATCCAGCTGTGCGTCTAGAGCATGAAATAAGGCGTGCCCAAGTGAACAGGGAGAGTGTAGCAGCCGTGACTGTAGATGTCGAGAAGGCGTACGATGTGATGTGGAAAGAAGGACTCCTGATCAGGTTGCATCAGATCGGTATTAAAGGGAGGACGTATAAATGGATTTGTAGGTGGAGAAACCGCGCCAACCCACACTCCAGTCCAGAAGGTGGCAGTAATGCACCTAACGTTGTTTTGCCAACCGCCATTAAAATGTAGAAGAAGACGGTGATGCGGGCAGGTCTGTTTGAGTCATAATGTTTGTTTTACACATTGAGTAGAGTTCTGTTACTTTGACCTGTTTTATGGGTCTAAGATTTTGATGATCTTTTGTATA